ACAGCAGTAGCAACAACATGGAGGATTACAACAGCATGGCCATCTCTTGGTCCCAGTTCAATAGGGTGAGGGAAATGGGAGTCAAACAACTGTACACCTTGGGAGAATCATTCACAGTAGATGCCTTGGGGAATTTTCTTCCAATCCTGTTTCCAGGGCCTGTACCTTTCACTAACAAAAGATACTAAAGGCAGCTCTTCTAGGTAAAAGGGTTTCCTGAAACTCATCCAGATTTTGGGTGGAACAGAGAAAATGTTACTGAACACGAAGTTCTATTATTTGCATGTCTTAAGCAACTGGACTTTTGAACGTATATAGTCAGTTTTAGTCCTTTATAATAGAATATATAGAATGAAGCAAAATATGAACAAAACTGTAGTGAAGGGAAGTGTTAGGACAAGCATGTGTTTTATGGCAGCTAGGTGGTACGAGGATGGAGCACCAGCCCTGAAGTCAGGAAAGCCTGAGTTCAAATGCAGCCTCAGACACTTAGTAGCTGTGTGACCCTGGGCAAGTCACTTAACCCTGATTGCCTCCCAAGAAGCACCAAAAAAAAAATAATAATAAAAATGATACATTATAGAATGTGATGAGACAAAGAAGTGAAGTCAGGCAGTGCTGTCATCTGGAGAGGCTGTGGATGTCAGGGAAGACTTCATAGAACTGAGGTGCTGGGCTTCAGCAGAAGAAAAGAATTTCAAACTCCCTCCTGAATTTGCTCTTTTGGGTAGCTGGCCTGTTGGTAAAACTCAGAGGCATAGATTCATGAAGGTAGGATGTCACAGATGGTCGTTTTCCATTTATTTGGTTGTAACTACAATTAAAAAAAAAAGACTTAAATTCCAAATGTCTTTCATACTCCCCCACCCCCTTCCCCCTCCCCTAGCATTTTAAAAAATTGTTTTGTTGTGTCAAAACACAGGAGAACTTACCTGGACGGAATTATACTTTCTGGCAGTGGTTTGATGGAGTGATGGAAGTGTTAAAAAAACATCTCAAGCCTCATTGGAATGATGGGTAAGAGTCTTTATTACTTGGCTAGAAACAAAGGAAAAAGCTCTCCTTTTAGGGAACAAAACTTCAGATGGTTTCTTCTCCTTTTGTCTCTGTGATTAGGGCCATCTTGGGTTTTGTGAACAAGCAGCAGGCCCATGACCTACTCATCAACAAACCAGATGGAACCTTCCTACTTCGATTCAGTGACTCTGAAATTGGGGGCATCACCATCGCCTGGAAGTTTGACTCTCGTAAGTACCCTCCCTTTGCCTTCCCCAAAAAAGACAACCAAACCACCACCAAAAGGTGGTTAGTTACTTTTTGGGTAAAATTGTTTCTCTCTCAATTGAGAAATTAAGCAGCCTTCATTATACAGCATCCCCAAAATTACCTTATGCTGCTTTTAGGGGAAAAAAGTCATTTTCTTAATATTTGTTATAGTAAAAAAAATTTCTTAAATCATATAGATGCTTTTGGTGCAATTTCAATGAGTTCATTTTAATTATGCCTTCATTACTTACTAAACTAAGGGCATTATCATTGGTTGTCCCTATCTAGCCCTGAACTTGGAAGTAATACTTCGAACAGCTTTAAGGGGCTCCGCGGGTTTTTATCTTTCATGTTGTGAGCAAATAAAAGCAAGCATAATAAACTTTAGTAATATAAGTTATCATTCTTACATGCCAACAAATATATTTTGTTTTTTAAGATGCAAGAGGTGAAAAGTTAAGAATTCATTTCCTCCCAAGGGAAATAGCCTAGTATTAGGACTTGAGAACTGTATTTGATGAGGGTTATTCACACTTAGCACACCTAAGGAAAATGTGTGTATTCTGTGGTCATTGACCCTAGTCATTATCTCAGATGTAACTGAAGGTGGCTCCCAGGAAGGGCCTTGTAGAGGACAGTGTTCTGTAGTATTGGAGGACTTGGGGAAGGGAGAGGTACCCTGCTCTACTTTTGGAGTGTCATTTTTCTGTTTGTTGATTTAGAGGAGAGGATGTTTTGGAATCTGATGCCTTTTACCACCAGAGACTTCTCTATCCGGTCCCTGGCTGACCGCTTGGGAGATCTGAATTACCTTATCTACGTGTTCCCTGATCGGCCAAAAGATGAAGTATACTCCAAGTATTACACACCAGTTATGTGCGAGTCTGCCACTGGTAACAGAATTCAAATTTTGATCCAGTTTTGATGTGTCTTATTGCTGTCTCTTTATCTTATGTAGCAAGATGTAAACTTAATTTTCAGTTACTCGTGTATTTTATCCAGTTTTTACAGTATCCATGACAAATGTTAATTATGAATTCTCTCTGCCACCGCATCCCTAATGTCAATGTCTTAGGGAATGAAAACTCATTTTTAATGGTAGCATATACCAAGCAAAATTGAGAAGAGAAATCATCCAGGAGGAAAGAAATCATATTGCAAATTTCAAAGCTAAATGATGTTTCATTACATGCAATTTTTAATATACACATCTGTTTCCCTCTTTTAGCATTTATAACCAAGAATTTCTTATTATATCTATCTCCAAATGACTTCTTTTGACCAATTCTTTTGTTTAATCTCCTTTATTATTTTGTCACTGATTGGAGGGAACAGAGTTACCCAAAAGATGTGAAATGCAGTACTGGTTATCAGGTCGTAAAGTTCTTTGGTCCTGAGTAGGTCAAGTTAAGGCACTTGCAAACAGATCTTAAGAGGCTTATTAACCATAAAGCATCTTGGCCTGTTGAACCTTGAAGCTGTTGAATAACTGCTGAACTAGATCCAAGATGTTGATTCAAACCCTAGTTTTGCTAGTTACTGGCTGAATGAGCTTGGGCAAGTCCTGTAACCTCTGTGAGCCGCAGTTTCCTGATCTGTAGTGTGAGAATGAGGGTATTGTGAGGATCAAGTGAGATAGTGTGAAAAGCCCTTTATAATGGTCAGGTACTCCATGAATGTGAGCAGTTAAGTCAGACTTCTGCTTGTTCCTATTCTTGCTTCCAGGAAATAATGCTATATTTTCCATTTCTGAGTGTGGCTTTCCCATACATTAGCCTTTCACATAAAGACCAGAAGTTGAATAGCTCAGTTTTAATCCCAAGGCTACTTTCCCCTACAACAAGTTATGTGGAGAATGAAAGAAATAGCCAGCATTTTTTAAAAAGTCATTGCATAAATAGTACTCACCTGGGGTGAGTGGGCGAGTGTCTTTTTCTCAGAATGCCATGAAAATGCCAAATTCTCCACTTCAGGAAGCATGCAGGCAGGCAGATGAATGGGGGAGGTATATTTTCTTTTGGGGTGAGCATATCATTAATGTTTAATTTGGACTTGTAATATTGAAAATCTGATTTGTGATTGGGGGAATTTAGTTAAATAGCCAATTAATTATACCAGTGAAGCCTTAATTTGCATTCTCTGCAGTGAGGTTTCACTTGTCCCTGACATTCTTGGGTAAAATTGGGGGCTAGGTCTCTGGGTGCCTTTCTGTCTTATAATCCTTATAGGAAGGCCATTTCTGAGGAAGACTGCATATCTACCCACTTGGTAATCACCATTGTCTTCAATCCCCTTCTTCTTTCTCTCCTTGGCAGCAAAAGCTGTGGATGGATATGTGAAACCACAGATCAAGCAGGTGGTCCCAGAGTAAGTGCCCAGCTCATATTCACATTTTGACTCTTATCTCCATTTATCATCCCCCTATGCCACATATACCCAAACATATTCCATAAATGCCCTGTCCAGTCCTTTCCCAGGAGGCCTTGCTAAGCCTGATTATTGGGCGGGATCTTGGTTTTGTCCTAACATACTAAGGGCTCCAAACCACAGCTCCTTTTCTCAAAACATGTGGCATACCTCCCCTTCCTAGCTACCCCAAAAGATACTTCCCCAGTACAGAAGCCACCGGATTACCAATTTACACCACCCCAGACTCAACTACTAGTACATAAAAAAGCTGAGCCCCCCCCAAAATGAGAAGCAATGGAGAGGGGGCAGATTTGGGTTTTCTTCAGTAATGCTGACCTAGCATAGGCACCCCTGGGGACAAGCTGTAGGCCAAGTTTAGCAAAGGCAAGCATATTTTGCTCAAAACTCAAGTTCTGGAACCATAGAAAGGGATTCCCAGAGTCTTAGAACTAGAGGAAGGGGCTGCTAGGCCATCTTTCTTCCTCTAGGCCTGTTTCTGCTTCAGTCCTTCAGGCTGGTTGGGGTCTGAGGTTCTGTTTTTTCTTCTTCCTCCAGGTTTGTCAGCGCATCTGCAGATTCTTCAGGGGGCAGTGCCACATACATGGATCAGGCCCCGTCCCCAGCTGTGTGCTCCCAGTCTCATTATAACATGTATCCCCAGAAGTAGGTTGTGTTCTCTTAGGGGCCCAAGGAGGTGGTGACCAATGTTGAACCGTCAGGGTCCCCCCAGTGGACTGGAGTTTATTGGTTTAAGTGGGGATTAGTGAGCTAAAGAGGCCAGACCTGTCCCAGTCTATTCAGATGGAAAATGCCAGTGGTCATTCTAGGAATAGGGGTGGGCTATTAGTTGCTCCACATTGTCCATTAGCAGTTGTCCTTCAACCAGTTGTTCCATGACCTGGGAGGTGGTTTAATTTGGGTCACTGGATACAGCTTGATTAAATCAGTGGCTCTCCATTTCCCTGTGAGCTAATGCTGGGGTAAAAATCAGCTCAGAGCAGAGGAGTGAGGGCAGTGCCATCAGGCTGCCATGTCTAGAGACCTGGGATTAACTGAGGAAGTGTGGTTTCTTTTTAGATTCTGATGATTTCTCTCTTCCTTTATCAGCCCTGACTCTGTCCTTGACCCAGATGGGGATTTTGACCTGGACGACACTATGGATGTAGCAAGACATGTTGAAGAACTCTTACGCCGACCAATAGACAGTCAATGGATTCCCCATGCCCAGTCGTGACCCCTGATCCCTCCAGCCCATAGCTCTTCATCCCCCAGCCGGAGGATCACTCTTGTGGATGTTTAATTCCATGAATCGCTTCTCTTTGGAAATAATATTCATAATGTGAAGTGTTAATACTAGTTGTGACTTTAGTATTTCTGTGCATGGTGATGCCAGTGGGGTGGGTGTGAGTGTGTATGAGTGTGTGTATGTATATTCAAGTGAGGTATTTTTCTTCCCCTTCCCTCCTTTCTGTCCAGGATTTGGCTGCATTTATCAAGACCTTAGGGACTGTGGCCAATCTCTCTTTACTAAAAGCCAGTTCTTGGGAAAGTCTGAGCTTTGGCTTTGGAGGGTGGGGATGGGTAGGGGTGGAAGGGAGGTTGCACCTCCTAATCAAGGACTTATGTTGCTGTTTCAGCCAAATATTACAGTCAAAAATTTAACAGTTGTTGCCTTTAACTATCCTCTGAAATTTCGATCACTGCCTTTTAACAGGAAAAGCCAGGTTTTCTTTCTTTCTTTTTTTTTCCTAGGTAGGGTTGGGAAATTATGACAGTTTGAAAAAATAGATGGAGTGGGGGAAAAGAGTTTTGGGTTTTCTGTTTAGGGGTTGATCTTTTTAAAATGCCACTTAGCACATACAAATTCACCTTTTTATGTGGAGTTGCTCCTTTGCGGGAGTGAGAACGCATGCATGCATGAATGTTTGGGGATGTGTATGTTTGACATGGGTATAAGACAGACTAGCCACAGATGTACATGCTTGTAGTACTGATATCCTGTGCATTTGGGCTATGGTGGAATACTAGATATTAACTTCCCAGGGTTAAAAACAATAATTTGTTTCCTGAGGTAACCCACAATTTGGATCTGATCATTCAAAGACTTTTCCTTCCCTGCTTATTCTCTGGAATGTTGGATACCAAAGTGTGAGGGTTTTGTTTTTAAGGATCACTTAAAGAGTTATGGATTTTATAAATGTTAGGTGCCCTTTTGTTTTTTCTAAAATGTATCCTCTTCATTTCCCTTCTGCCTCTCCCCACTCACAGATGTCATCAGAATTGTCTTTCTTTACCTCCAAGTCCTATGCCAGTCCTAGGCCCATTGTCACTTGCTTTTCCTTCCAGTGTTTACACCAGTGTCTTGAAGATTTGATGGCATGAATGTCGTCTGAACCAAAGGCTAGCTTGTTGAATTTGAAGTCCATGGTCCACCTATTGTGTGGTTGTGGGCAGTGATAGAAGTTGGGGGGGGGTTATTTGTAATGTTTTTGATTTTATTTTGGTAAACAGGAAAAAAGGGAAAAAAATGAAATTAAGCATAGCATAATTTTGACTCATGGCAATTTCTTCAGTAGCTTCTTACTGCTGGGGAGATGTGGGCTGTGACTGGGATGTGTAGCTGAACATAGGTTGGGGAGTGAGCAGACACAGCCTATGGGTGAAGCCTATGAGGTTCTTCCCCCAACCCCCTCTCTCCAAGAGAAGGGCACATGGCCATACCCAGGAGAGTTATGTCACTAAAAACCTTATTTTTATACTTGCTAGTAAATAAACAGATATTTTTTTAACAAAAAAGTTATGAATTTATCAAGTATCTTGATGTTGATGGAGAAAATATTCCACTTTAGTAAAGTATTTATTGGAAGGTAACTTTTTAAAAGCCGCTGTGTGTTAGCCTTGGCTCAGTTTTATATGTTGATTATTTTTTAACCTGGGCATCCACACCCTGGCATTGCCAGGCAGTAGGAGCATCTCTTTGCCCCTCCTGGGAGAAGACTGAACTCTCCAGGAACACCAGCATTGGCTGTGGGATGCTGTTCACCCCAGGATGTGGGCTTAATTAGGACTCCAGTCCTGAAAATGGAGGAGGGGGGAAAAGAGGAAGGGGAAAAACTGTGTTTCCTAGGTACTGGGACTTTCATAAAGAATCTGAGAAATGACTCTCTAGCTTTCTCACTTCCTGATTACCCCTTCTGAACAGGCTTAGGAGTCTCGGGCCCTGGGTGAGACTTGGTCCCGCCTGGAGTGGTATGGCCTAAGAATTCAATTCATGTTCTGGCAGCCTGTGCCCACCAGGGGGCAGCACGAAAATAGGATCATGTCTGAGGTGGACTGTGAAAGAGCCGAACAAGGGAAAACCATAGAAATGTGTTCCTCTTTCCTGGGCTCCGCCCAGTTCCATGCTGAAGATGGTTCTAGGAAGCGGTGATGCTCTTAACTCGCACTCACTCCCGCAATTGCAATTCTCCAGGGACACCAGGCTTCCCAGATAGCATGAGACCTGGCACTTGGCTTAGCTGCCCTCACTCTTCCAGAAGCTGCTCCTGCGAGACATTTTGGACTGAAATATATATTGTTTTCCTTCTCCCCTTCTCCCCTTCCCCCCTTGCAAAATACAGAGCCAAACTTTTGTTCATGCTGATTATTGATGAAAGTCAAGTTTTGACCATTTCACCTCCCTCTTTGCCCCTCTCACAAAACAGCAGCAAAAATGTTTCAATGGTATGTGGTATACACAGGGTTTTGTGAGGGTGGGAATACCCAAAAAGTGAGTATAATTTAAATAAGAGAATACTTTTGATAATTTTTCTTTTTAAAACTTTGTGAAATTATTTCGGATACATATTTTAGTGTTGAAGCAGATACATATATATAGCCAGCCACCAATAAAGTATTGTGTACAATTTTGGGCAGTCACAAAATTGTGTATTTTATGTTACAATAAAGGCCTCCTGAAGAGACAATACCTTTTTCCTTTGATTTCTTTTTCCCATATATCTCCAAAGTTTTGGGGTGGGGGAGGCGAGGGCAGCAGCACAGGTGAGGCTGTGTAAGCCTGGGCTGTTTCAAATGAGACAAAATTGAGATGTGTCTGAACTGCTGGAAAAGGGGATTTGATCAGCTCAGGAGAATGGATTCTTGAGTGGTTATCTGGATCCACCCCCTCCTTAGGGATAAAGCCACATCCAAACCATTTCAGACATCCAATTTTTAAGTTTTGGAGAAGATTCCATCCTTCTTTAATGCTTAATTCCAGGCATGTCAGCTTTTCCTGTTCAGAACATTATTTTTATTCAATTCAGTTCCACAAATGTGTACCTCTTCGCTGCATAAGGACCCCACAGTTTCAGAGACCCCCAAATTTATCACCCAGAAGGTAGCTTGCTAATGAGCCGTTCCAAGTTTAGCTAGGCCTCTCCTCCTATGATGAATGGGAAGTCAATCCATCACCCAGCTTTTACTCATAACACTTCCAGCTTGGTAAGGCCTCGTGAAACTTTTATTGCACCGACAACCTTAGATTGCCAATCCCAAGATTTTATATGCGATATAAATCCTCACCATGGCTGCTTTAGCTAGTCCTCCTTGCTTCTGTCTTTACCGAGAACCTAAGGGATTACCTGCTCTCATCAATTTGTGTCCCTGTCCCAGTTTTGTGTATTATGGGTGTTACAGCATAACCACAGTGCAATGAATGAGCTTCGCATTAGGGCAACCATCTTCCTAATCAGAAAAAAATATGACCTATTTTGCCCTGATGCTTCCTCCCTCATTAGATTTAAAGAACATTCCCGCAGCTGCCTAGAGATTGCCTCCCTAGAATTAGAGAATCTTCCAAACATCACACAAGGGCCTGGGTTCAAAACCTGACTGCTCCTTACTACCCATGTGACCTTAAATACCTTCCTTCTCTGGGATTCAAGTTTCCTTTGTAAAATGAGGATTGCAGCATTTCAAAGTAGAAGGGACTTAGCGGCCTTCTAAACTAGCACACGTCCGGAAAGGAATCACACTACAACACACGCCATACGTGGTCATCTAACCTTTGCTTGAAGAACTATTTCCCCATGTAGCTCTTTTCAAATTTGGATAGCTCTAATTGTTAAGAAGTTTTTCCTGATGACAAGACTAAAATTATTTCCTTTTAACTTCCACTCAGACCTCCTAGTTATTTCTAAAATGTAGCATCCCAAACTGAATGTAGAATTCTGGATGCGGTCTGACCTGGGCTGCACACAGCCAGACTATTATCTCCTTATTCCTAAAACCAGTGCTTTTCCGTGCAGCCCAAGATAATATTGGCCTTTTTTGACTGCCGTATCAGTGTTAACTTACTTGAGCTTTCAATCCCCTAAAATCCCCAAATGTTTTAAAAAATGTTGCCTAACCATTCTTCCCTCACTTTTGTACTTATGAAGTTGATTTCTTAAACCCAAAGGTAAGACATTTTTCCCTATTAAATTTAATCTTGGTTTCAGCCCAAGATTCAGCCTCTCAAGTATTTTTTTGATCCTGGTAGTTATCTAGTGTGTAACCCATCCCTTTGCCATCTTCAAGTTTGATAAAGTTGTCTTTATCAAGTCACTGGTAAAAATGTTGGATATCATGGGACACTTTACTGGATACCCTCTTCCAAGGCCATCTTTTACAAAAGAATAGAATGAGTTACTTTTTCAACTGCTTTGCTAAAATCTAGGTGAGTTTTTCTCAAATCAGTTAGGTAACTGCCTCCAAAATAAAAAGGAAATGAGATTTATCTGACATGTCCTGGTTGGTTTGGTTTTTTTTCTTTTAATTATATTTTATTTTCTGGTCTATATTCTCTTCAACCCATCTCCTCTCCACCCCCCATTGAAAAACAAAACCTAATACAAACATATGTAGTTAAAACAAATTCTCAGGTTGGCTATGAACCAAAAAAAAAAAAAAGTCTCAATCTGCACTCTGAGTTCATTACCTCTTTCACTGAAGGTGAGTAGCATGTTTCTTCATGAATCATTTGGAATTGTGATTGGTCATTGTATTGATCAGAGTTCCTAAATCTCTCAAAATTGTTTGTCTTTACAATGTTATTGTCATTCTATAAGTTGCCCTCAAACTTCTACTCATTTCATTTTTTTTTTTAAATTTAGTGAGGCAGTTGGGGTTAAGTGACTTGCCCAGAGTCACACAGCTAGGAAGTATTATGTGTCTGAGGTCAGATTTGAACTCAGGTCCTCCTGACTCCAGCGCCAGTGCTCTATCCACTGCACCACCTAGCTGCCCCTCTACTCATTTCATTTTGCATCAGTTCATACAAGTCTTCCCAGGTTTCTCTGAAATCATCCCCTTCATCATTTTTCTTACAGCACAATAGTGTTCCATCACATTCATGCACTAACTTGTTCATCATTACTCAATTAATGGGCACCCCCTCAGTTTCCAGTTCTTTGGCATGATGGCCTGTTCCCCCCCCTTTATTTATTTTTAATATTCATTTTTAAATATTTCAAGTTCCAAATTCTCTTCCTCCCTCCAACCCCTCCCCCACCCATTAAGAAGGCAAGCAAAATTATATCAATTGTACATGTGAAGTCATACAGACCATTTTCGTATTAGCCACGTTGGGAAAAAAAAGCAAGAAAAAGAAGATGGAAAAAAGTATGCTTCAATCTTCACTCAGAGTTCATTAGTTCTCTCTCAAGAGGTAAATAGAATTTTTCATTGTAAGTCCTTTGAAACTGGCATGGATTATTGTATTGATTGGGATAGTTAAGTCTTGATCATTGTTACAATGTTGCTGTTACTGTATACAGTGTTCTCCCATTTCTGCTCTCTTCACTTTGCATCAGTTCATATAAGTCCTCCCAGGTTCTTCTGAAACCATCTTGTTCCTTGTTTCTTATTGCACAATAGTTTTCCGTGATGGCTTATTCTTTTTTTTCTGCACTTAATAGTATCTTATTTTTTTCCAGTTACATGTAAAGATAGTTTTCAACATTCATTTTTGTAAGATTTTGAGTTCCAAATTTTTCTCCTTCCCTTCTTTCTCTCGCCTTTCCCCAAGACAGCAAGCAATCTGATATATTTATTATACATGTACAATCATGTTAAACATATTTCCACATTAGTCTTGTTGTGAAAGAAGAATCAGAACAAAAGAGAAAAACTATGAGAATAAAAAAGTGAAAATAATATGCTTTGATCTACATTCAGACTCCATGGTTCTTTCTCTGAATGTAGATAGTAGTTTCCATTGTGACTTCTTTGGAATTGTCTTGGATCATTGTATTGCTGATGAGAGTTAAGTCTATCAAAGCTGGTCATCGAACCATGTTGCTGTTACTGTGTACAATGTTCTCCTAGTTCTGCTCACTTCACTCAGCATCAGTTCATATAAGTCTTTCCAGGTTTTTCTGAAATCCGCCTGCTCATAATTTCTTTTTTTTTAATTAACTTATTTTCAGTTTTCAACATTCATTTCCACAAGATTTTGAGTTCCAAATTTTCTTCCCATCTCTCCCCTCCCCCACCCCAAGACAGTGTGCAATTTGATATAGGCTCTACGGATACATTCATATTGAACATATTTTCACATTAGTCATGTTGTAAAGAAGAATTAGAATCAATGGGAGAAATCATGAGAAAGAAAAAACCAACAAAAAAAAGAAAAAAGAGAGAGCAAATAATATGCTTTGATCTGCATTCAGACTCCATAGTCCTTTTTCTGGATGTGGATAGCATTTTCCATCATGAGTCCTTTGGAGTTGTCTTGGGTCTTTGCATTGCTGAGAAGAGATAAGTCTATCAAAGTTTGTCATTGCATGTTATGGTTGTTACTGGGTACAGTGTTCTGGTTCTGCTCACTTCACTCAGCATCAGTTCATATAAGTCTTTCCAGGTTTTTCTGAAGTCTGTCTGCTCGTCATTTCTTATAGAACAACAGTATTACATTACATTCATATACTACAACTTGTTCAGCCATTCCCCAATTGATGGACATGCCCTCAATTTCCAATTCTTGGCCACCACACAAAGAGATGCTATAAATATTTTTGTACATGTGGGTCCTTTTCCCTTTTTTATGATTTCTTTGGGATACAGACCTAGATATTGCTGGATCAAAGGGTATGCATGGTTTTATAGCCCTTTGGATATAGTTCCAAATTGCTCTCCAGGATGGTTGAATCACTTCATAACTCCATCAACGATACATTGGTGTTCCAATTTTCCCACACATGATGGCCTATTCTTGACGGAGTCATGAAGGCATGCAAGTTCTTTGTGATGTTTTCTAGATGTTTAACAATCATCCCTTTAGTAATAAGGTTTTCCCAAGAATCAAACTCTTTGGCGATAGTTTGAAGATTCCATTATCTCCTCTATTTTTGAAAATCAGTATATTTACCCACTCCAGGCCTGCCACACCTCTCTGGTTCATTAACAGTGGGGCAGCCAGGTGTCATAATAGATAGTGTGCCAGGCCTGGAGTCAGGAAGACCTGAGGTCAAATCTAATCTCAGACACTTACTAGCTGTGTGTCCCTGGGTTACCAAGAGTCGGACATGAATGAAATGACCGAACAATAACAACAGTGTCTCACCAATCACATCTGTCAATTTCTTCAATGCCTGAGAATGTGGTTTATAGGGGTGTTGGGCATGGTGATTTCTAAGATCTTTCCCATTAAATGAATCTCTAGAGCAAGGATGGGGAACCTGCAGCCTCGAGGACACATGTGGCCCTCTAGGTTCTCAAATACGGCCTTTTGAATCCAAACTTCACAGAACAAATGCCCTTAATAAAAGGATTTGTTTGGTAAAACTTGGACTCAGTCAAAAGGCCACACCCAAGGGCTTAGAAGGCCACATGTGGCCTTAGGGCCGCAGGTTCCCCACCTGTGCTCTAGACCTTTCCCCAAGTCTGTTTCCTTATACAGCCCCATCTCATGCACTCCCTTTACCTCTCTAGTCCTCCATTACTCCAGAACTCTACTGCTCTGAAGCGGCAAGCCTGACTAGGAATGCTTGACTTAAGAAACAGGTGTTCATTTACATGCTACTCACAGACATTTAGTCCAAATGCACACAGAAGCCCTATTTCCACTCCTCAGCTCACCCTCCACTTGCCTTTGTCTTCTGTCCTGCTCGTGTTTCTTCCTCTTTCCTTCCCCATAAAGCCCCAATCCAGTGCTAGAGCTGCTAACTTTTCACAGCCTGTCCCTTTAAGACTCCCCTTCCACCTTCCCCCAGCACAAATGCACAGCCCGAGCTGGCTGCCTTCCGGGTGACCAGATTTCCCTAGCTGGGCCCTGCCCTTTAAAACTTCAACTCTTTCTGGTCCGGAAAAGGAATATTGTTTCCGGAAGAAACCCGGAAGAATCCTCAGAAACTGGGGTTTAGGGAGGAGGTGAAGCATGCGCTGGAATCCAAAAGGACGTGGGAGCACAGAGCAAAAGTAAGGAGGGGGGGTGAAAGTAGGGGGATTGGAGCCGTGGGGTGTCCTGGAAAACGGGGAGGTAGGTGGGGAAAATGAAATAAGATGGCCAGAAAACTATTCCAGCAGCCTTAGAGAATGCTCCCTTCTCCTCTCCCTTGTTCCCCATCTTTTCCTGGAGCCTGGCTGTTTCCCTGTCCCCCGTTTGCCTCAGTTCTATATGTGGAGGAGCAGCTATGGTTCCCCTATTCCTCTCCTAGAAGCTCCCATCAAGATGTTGCTGCCACTGTTGTTGCTACTGCTACTGCTGCTGCCCTTGACCCTGCTCCGGTGGCAGAAGAGCAGAAGAATGGGTAAGGCCTGGGGCTCTACACTCCAGCATAGCATGGCCTTACGAGCCCTAGGTTGGGCAGCAGCCTGGAAGCAGTGGCGACTGGAGAAGAGCACGACTCAAATCCTTCAAAGCCAGGAGCAAGCGTTGCATTGGTGTCTTCAGGGACCCCGAACTGCCACCTGCCCAGTAGGGGAAATACCAGGTAGGTTTCTCCAAAGAACTATGGAAATAGTTCCCAGGTTCAGCCACTGTAAATATGGAGAAATGGTAATAATAACATTTATGTAGAGCTTTAAAGTTTGCAAAGCATTTTACACGCTATCTCATTTGATTCTCACATCAGCCCTGGGAGGTAGGTGCTGTTATTATCCTCATTTTACAGATGGGGAAACTGAGGCAAAAAGCAATTTGCCCAGGGTCACACAGCTAAAGATGCTAGAGGCAGGAATCAGACTCAGGTCTTCCTGACTTCCAAGTCCAGCACCCTCTCCATTGTACCCTCTGGCTATCCATCACCACATCTAGTAACATAGTGGAAACAGGGCTGGATTTGAATTTCAAGGACCTGGGTTAAAAACCTGATTCTGCTGCTTATAGCCTGTGTGATCTTTGGCAAATCACTTAACCTTTTGGACCTTTGTTTCTCACCTGAAAAATGAGAGGTTTGGACTAAGATCCTTTCCATCTCTAGATTTATGATCCTATGTATATAGGATAAATAGACTGAGAGAAACCACACATGAAAACCTCTGAGCCCAGAAATCCCCACAGTGTGGTCTTGGAATGAGAGAGAGTTTTGCCCAACTGATTAGGTCCATAGAGGAATGCCAGGCTGCCAGAGACCCTCCCAAAGCCCATCCTCTCCTATTCTAGTTTAGTCACACTCTCCTGCTCCCAAATCTTGGTTTCCCTCCAAGCCAACTCCGGAACCTCTTTTTTGTTTGACAGTCCTAGAAAAAGGCACCCCTCCCACCTTCCATACCAAAGAGTCTCCCCTCTCTCTCCCCCACCCCTACAAGAGATGATTCTAACCAGAGTATTTCCATTGGGGGGGGGTTTCTCTGATGGTTACAGACTTGAACAGTTTCCGGAATCAGTTCCCTCTGGTTTGGCCTCACCTGGACCCCCACAGCAAGACAGGGGAGACAGATGAGAACTTGGCAATGCTGCAGCATCCCCAATACAACTCCACCCCCTGGGATTCTTTACAGGTAGCTAGGGAAGTGGCAGAGGTGCCTCCAGGGTGGGGGGGGGGGTAGAGGGACTCCCTTCCCCATCTGAGCTACAAACCTTTAAGCTCACACCTCATGAGTGGTGGGAAGGTTACCTCTATATTTTTGGCACTGAGATTGGCAGGGGACAACTTGGTTCAGAGTTGGGATTGGGGTGGAAGAGGTCAAACTGATGCTTTCCCATCCATACTTGTCTCTTTCCAGATCACGTTGCTGAGTTTCAATTTCTTGAAACAGTTGTATCCAGGGGCACTAGTCCCAGGAGGCACTGCCCGTTTGACCCTCACTTCCCCCTGGCCTTGCTCCCTCCCCTGGCCCCTGAAGCCCCTGGCCTGGGCTTGTCCCCCTGGGGCAGAAGCAGGGGACCCTCAGTCGCTGATTCTGGCAGCTCTTGGAAGCAGGGAGCTGCAGGTGCTAGAGGCCGGAACAGCAACTGAGTTGTTGGATGTCTTCTCCTGCCTTGGGGCTGACTGGAAGGGGCTAGTGGAAGCAGTGGCTGCTGGCATGCCTGGCTTCTTGCCCCCTGCCCCTACCCGGGCAGCAGAGCTGAAAACTGAACTGGAGCAGGGACCGAAGGGACTGGCTCGAAGGCTCTGGCCCCAGCTGCAGGTGGTGGTGATGAAGGATGCAGGGGGGCAAGACGTGGCCAAAGCCTCCTTGGGGAATACCTGGTGCCAAGGGTTGCCTTTCTTCTCACCTGCTTATGTAGCTGCTGGAGGTCAGGGGGTCAGGAAAGCTCTGTAATGGGCCTAGGGTAGAGATAAGTGGTCAACAGTGGGCAGCAGACATCGTGAATCAGAGCTGGGGATCATGGTTTAGTCAGGTTGGAGCAGTTAAGGTCAGGTGATGGAGGAACAGATTTGATCCTGGCAGGAAGAACAGGCAAAAAGTCAAGATCTGGAATGGGGAGGGTCAGAGGTGTTACCAGCAGGGCAGGGCAAAGGTTCATAAGGTAATGGACTGGGCCCTATCCTTCCCCTATAGGTGGGCAGGAGGGGAGAGAATATCCCAGAATACCTGTCCTTGAGGACTGCTCTGGGTCCCACTTTTCATAAAGCTCTCATTTCCAGTTTGGGGAAGCTAAGGGAAGGATCTGCTTTGTTCTGAAGCTCCTGGCTTACACTTTGTTCTCTGCCCCACCCTTCTTCCTACCCTCAGGTATAATTGGATTGAACCTATGCCTAAAGCAGCTAAAGCCAGGATACCTCTTACTCCCAGGACCTCCCTTTGTGGAACTGCTCCCAGCCCAGGGGAAGAGCCAAGAGGAGGCCCCCTCCACCCTCCTACTAGGGGAGGCCCTACTAGGGGAAGAATATGAGCTGGTGCTGACCAATGATGCTGGCCTCACCAGGTGATGTCCCCAGACCCCTGCCTCACCTCTGCCCCTCCAGGCATTGCACTGGTAAAATGAAAGTGGGAGGAAAATTAAGCAAAGGGCTTCCTGCTAAGGCAGAGGAGGAGGGAGGCTGGGGCTGAACTGATTGCTCCTTGTCTCCCCTACCTTATTTATCCCTTTCTTTTTACCTCTTACTCCCCTGTCTTTGCCATGCGTAGGTGCCCCCTGGGGGATGTGGTCCAAGTTATCGGCTTCTACAATCAGTGTCCTGTAGTCAAATTTGTCCGAAGGTAAGTGGCCCACTGAGGGAAGTGCCAAGAGGGTTTTTCCAGAGGATTATGGAGAAGACTTAGGCTGAGACATCCAAGGTCCCATAGACAACCCTTGGACCCAAAGGTTCCCATGCTGAGAGGTCTAGGAGAGATCCTTCAGAGCCCTCCCAACTGAGTGACTCCAGAGAACAGTTTTGTCCTCCTAATCCCAAAACCTGGCTTCCTTCTAAACCAGCCCTATAAATCTTCTCCCTGAAACTGCTGGGAGGCTCTAAGATTCTTGCCACCTTGCCAGCCCTCCCTGAGGGTTAGGGGAGAGAGCGCATCCCTGAAAGCCCCTCTCCTTGGGAGACTGATATGACCCCCTTGTTTCTCCCCCATATTCCTCCCACCCTAGGCTGAGTCAGTCCCTCAATGTCCGAGGTGAGGGCATCTCTGAAGATGTGTTCTCTGGGGCATTGCTACGTGCTGTGGGGCTCTGGCCAGGGGCCAAGTTGCTGGATTACTGCTGTGCACAGAGTAGCATTCTGGGTAAGACATTTTCCTACCTCCCTCTCTTAGGGTCATGCTATCCAGTCCCCTGCCTTTAAGTAGGACGTGCACCTTTACTACCACTCTGCCCTCACTTCCCACTGCCCAGAGTCTCTCCAAGGCTGAGATCTCCCAGGCAGATGGCAGCTCCTTGTCTCTTGATAGAAATCCTCTCCAGAGTCTAATCTTCATCCCTTCTGGAGTGTTATTTCTCTTCCTTTTTTCCTTCTCTTATGAAACAACAATTTTCTGTTCTCCACTTACAAGCCCAAATGTGCCCCCATCCTCCCCCAAAAAACCTGTCACTTTTTTCCACGTACCCCAAGATGGGAACTAAGGGGAGGTAAGAACCTTCCCAAGGATCCCTCAAGTAAAGAGTGGAAACTTCCCACAGACTCCTTCTCGGATGGCTCTGCTCCCCACTACGAAGTGTTTGTAGAACTGAGAGGGGTCAGGGGCTTGTCTGAGGACCATCGACATAAGGTAAGGGAGTAAGGAAAAAGGGTGTAGTTTCCCCCACCCCAGTTCCTTGAATTCACCTGGGATTGGGAGAGAGAGAGGAATTTATCTAGGAAAGAAAACAAAGGAAACTGAGGAGAGATGAGAGATCCTAAAATCCTTTCTAGCTGGGACAAGCTCATGATCTGTACCCTCCCCTAAACCTTGCCCGCCTCCTACACCCTATAAGCATACACTTTGGACTAAGCTTTATCTGTCCTTTCTATTCCCAGCTGGATCACTGCCTCCAGGAAGCCTCCCCCACCTACAAGTCTCTCCGTTTCCGAGGCAGTATTGGACCTGCCCAAGTCCACCTGGTGGGCCAAGGGGGCTTTAGTGAACTTCGTGCTCTCCTTTCCTCCTCTCCCTCATTAATGCCCTTTTCCTCCTTTCCCCCAGAGATGCCCCGCATCCTGAGACATAAAAGCCTAATCCAGTTTCTGCTAAAGAGGGTGGTGTCCTGAGTGTCCTCAGGTCCCCACCTCCATCGCAGTGTGTCTCTCTTTCATATGTCTCTCTGAAACCCCATAGTCTAGGGGGCTCTCTGAGTCTAGGGGTCACCCTAGCATCTCTGTACTCTCTCAGAGTGGGAAAAAAAAATCTCATTTGGGAACCCTTTTGGCCGGTTTTCCTGCCTTCTATCCAGGCTAAGTGATGCTAATTTTAGCTTCTGGGCAGTGAAGGACTGATAATGGGGGCAGGTAGAGTTACTGGAGGTGAGTGCACCAGAATAGAATGAGTATGGGTCTTGCTGTCCCTTCTGTCTCCATGCATGAACACTAACTTGATTTTTAAACGTAGGGACTAGGTTAGGTTTAGACATCAGGCCTGTGATTTCATTAATATAGGGGATTCCTCTGGATGAGGAAGCTTTACCAGTGCAGGTCAGCATTAGAAGCTTTCTCTGCCAGGGTCACATAGCCAACGTGTGCCCGAGGCTGGACTGGAACCCAGATTTTCCTGATTCCAAGGCCATCACTCTTATCTACTGTGCCACACTGTCTGTCTATCCATCTCTAAGAGATATGGTGTACAATCAGAAATTAAGAAGAGCTATTGGTGAATCAGTCTCCCTTCTCATGCCTCTAACAAGTTAGGAGCCTCTAAGCTAGAAAGGGACCACTCTGTCCTCCCTCCCTTCACCCTCATTATCTTGACCATAATTTGGCAGCAGCTGCATTCCACTTACCCAGTCCCTGTTTCCCCAGAGATTGTACTGATACTGGCCAGGGAAGGGGGATCTTGTGGGGGGAAGTGCTATCAGAGACAGTATATTTTGAGCCTTGTTGCAAGCACATGGTTTTCTGGAATGTCAGAACTGGAAGGAAGTCTTAGAAATTGTCTAAGCTAATGCCCTCATTTTAGAGAAGAGGAAACTGAGTCCCAAAGAGGTTAAATGATTTGCCAAAGGTCACACAGCCACTTTGTGGACAAGCCAGGAGCCAAACTCTGTTCTCCATTATTCTTTATTTCCATTTCACTCCACTGTCATTCCTTCTGCCTTGGTGTTGGGGTAGAAATGGCAAGAGGGTAGGGGTGGGCAGTGGGGTCAATAATGCTAAAAGACCATAGGAAACCTAACCAGTCCCCAAGCCTAGGCACAGGAGAAAGTTGGCTTATGCTTCCAAAGAAATCTGTCAACAAGCCAGTTCACAATAAACTTACCTAGACCTGTATGTATGATGGTCTATGTCTCAGGGGTGGGGTGGGGTGGGGTGGAAGGGTAAAAGAGGGATATTTCTGAAACTAGGGAAGAAGCGAGCTGAAAAAAAAAGGGGGGGAGATGGGGATGGATAAAAGCTTTTTTTTCCCTGAGAAATAATGATTTGGAGCCTTGGAGAGACAAAGAGATGAGAATAAAGAGTTGCTAACAATTCATCCTCTTCCCTCGCTACATATGGTTTATGCATCATGTCTAGGACAAGATGCAGTATATGCCTCCCCCCTCCCATTTTTACCCTATCCTCTAATTAGTCTAACGACCCTCACTTCCCCTCAGCCTCATTGTCCCCAGCCAGAGCTGGAGCTGCTTTTGTATTCTTGGATTCCTGGGTCTGCAATTGCCTTATTAATGCCCAGCGACTGGTGTCATCTCCAGGGAGCTTTCCATCTTCCGTAGGGGAAAGCCAGGGGCCACATCACCCAGAGCCATCTCCAAAGCCCTCACCTCATTCATTCTTCCAGTCCCAGCCTAGAGACGAGTCCCCCTCCATGACTTCATGACGGTATTCTTAGTTGTGGCTTTGTCTGATCCAGGGGATGTGCGTAGATGCCCATCCCTCCCCCCTACAAGCCCTGGTCACTATAAGCCTCAGGGTAAGAGCTGCCCAGTCACTGCCACCCAGTCACTGCTGCGCAGCATCTGCTTGGCTCTCTGTACCCTCCAACTGGACAGCCTGACATGCTCCTGGCTGTCCCTTACTCCAGAGCTCCTGGCACTATGGATCCAACCACTTCAAAGGTAAAGGCTGAAGGGATCTAAAGAAAGGGAATAGGAGGTGTCAGTAGGGGAAGCGACCTTTCAGGCTGCAAACATTTTTATCAGCTCACTTGGGGTGGGAGAGCCTCATCTGATCTTATGGAGGAATTAGGAGTTCCCAGTTCAGGTCCATGATTCAATTCTTGGTTGCAGGCCATGAGTTGGGCAGCTGGAAAGTGAGGAGTGGCTGAGTCCATAACCCTAGGTCTCAGAGCAGCAGCTCTGGTCCCACAGGAGAGGCAGGAGAAATGAAAAAGACTCATCCTTGGCATCCTGACTTTTCTCTGATTTCTTTAGGAATTTGAATACACTCTCTGTATGCCAGCATTCTTGGGGGTGAGGGGAAACAGATCAGGTGAGGAAGCAAACAGAATAAGGTGAAGAACTCTCTACCTCATAGGAATAGATTTGAGATGGACACTGAGGTAGATAGCAGATGGGAGTCTTGGCACACACACACACACACACACACACACACACACACACACACACACACACACCCATTCATAAAAATAGCCAAGTCCCCTAAACCCCATTCCTATAGACCAGCCCAATTTATTTCCTTCTTCTCCCGCCCCTTTGCCTTTCCTTCTTTCGCTATAGTGGAGGTGATAAGACCTCCCAAGAGTGGAAGTCTGACCCGTGTCCTTGGCCCTCTAAGGAACCACAGAAAGCTGGGCTCAAGTGATTGCATCTTTTACAAACTCTTGTTTTTCACCAGTATTGGAATTTCTGGGTGACAGTTTCATGACGATGGGAGATGTGAAAGTGCTAGCATGGTGACAGCGGTGGGGGGTGGAGGGAGGTTTACCCTTGCCTGCCCAGTGTGCCCACCTCTCCCACCACCCTCCCCACCCTAGGCTCCTTGGGCCACCGTGACGCTGCTGCTTCTGTTGCTGGTGCTCCCAGCGTTGCTACCTGCCCGGGCAGCCGCCCAGCCGATGCCCAACTGCTGCCGACAGAAAACTTGTTCCTGTCGTCTCTACGACCTGCTACACGGAGCCGGCAACCACGCGGCCGGCATTCTCACCCTGGGGAAACGGAGGGCGGGCCTATCTGGGCTACAGGGACGACTACAGAGGCTCTTGCAAGCCAGCGGCAACCACGCCGCAGGCATCCTCACAGTGGGGCGCCGTGCAAGCGCAGGCGGAGAGCCCCTCCCCACTCCCTCCGGAGCCCCGGGCTACAACAGTTGCTCCCGGGTCCCTGGCACCTTGTCCTGCGTTGGGCATCTGTGTACCGATAGCCCCGCAGCACAGGACCCTGTCCAGAGCTGGCGGGGGTCATGAGCCGCAGAGGCGACCGTCTACCAATAGCCGCTCCCCCAGCAATTGGGCTTTCAAAGCCCTGGGGCATCACCAGATTCCCAAGACTGGCTGCTCAGTGACTCAGTTGTTTGGGCAGTGGCAGGGGCGGAGTTAGGGGGGTGGGAGCTCTTCTTATTTTCCATGTATTCGGGATGGCCCCAAAGGTGGAGATATGAGAGACAGGTGGGTTTCTCCCCGCCTCCTCTCAGCCCCAGGTCTGTGCTCCACCTCCGAGAATGGGGGGAATAAAGATGACTCACGCTGAATGTGTCCTTTCTCTGTTACTGCGGTCACCCCTTTCCTCTCCCTAGTAGCAGACCTTTGCGGGGGAGGGGGGGCAAGGGTCTGAGACAAGGTATGTAAATCATACCCTTCCGTGTGCCACAGTCACCCCAGACTTGGAGATTTCTCTGCAGCATAAACGACTTAGCACAAAAATAAATCGGGAGGGTAGGATTTCCTGGCGCTGAAGAGATCGAAGGGGCAGCCAGATTGAGTAGACAGGATATCCCGGCTCTGGATTCAAATTACCACCTGTGTGATTTCCACTTAATCTCCATAAGTCCCACTTTCTTCATCCGTTAAATGAACTGAACTCCAAAGGCCCTTCCAGTTGTAGATCTATGCTCTTATGTACATTTTCAAAAAGTAGTATTTTTAAAAGTCCCTTTTTTTTCTTTTTGGTGAGGCAATAAGGGTTAAGTGACTTGCCCAGGCTCACACAGCTAGTACATGTCAAGTGTCTGAGACCAGATTTGAACTCAGGTTCTCGACTCTGAGGCCCTAGCACTATCCACTGTGCCACCTAGCTGTCCCCAATACGTTTCTTTTATTCTCGAAGTTCTTCCTATTCCAGACCCAGTCACCCTTAGCGCACCTCAGTAACCTCTAATCTAGGCTCTACTCCACACCTTATCCTCACTACCTACCATTTTAGAATCTTCAGCTCATGAGTATTGGGGTGGGGGGAGGCGTCGAAGACAAGAGCCAGAGGAACCAGATTAAAGGGATTTAATCTCACTTTCCTTTGTCCACATCCTCCTCCAGCCCCAGTCAGAGTCTAAAGAACCCAACAAAAACATTCCTTATTCAAAAAAACAAAAACCAACAGAGGGTATAGGAAATGGAAATGGCTCCTGTTAAGCCTTGTCCCATCTCCCCACTGCCATCTGACTGCCTTGTTCCCCTGCAGCAAGAGACAGAGGGGAAGAATAAAGCTTAGAACTGCCTTTATTCCTGTCTCAGTTCCCTCCTTCACTGTCAGGAAGTTCTTTCTGCTATCCCTCCTGCATAACCTTTCTGTTGTAGTTTCAGTCCCCTTGCCTCTCTGGTTCTGCCCTAAAGTACCCTTTAAAGATTTATAATCCAGCCAACTAACTGCCACAGGGTCTCAGTCTTCTCTAGATTTCTATCTCCTCTAGTTTCTCTTTCCATTCCGGGGAAGTGTGTGTGTGTGTGTGGGAGAGGGGCAGATGTCAAAGTAAGAAGATGTTAAGATAATTATTTTAAGATACACAAGCTGAACCTCCCTCTCTTCTTTGCTGAGGGGAAGGACCAAGGGGGTGGAACATGGCATAATATACCGTAGGACTTGACTGATGTGTTAGTTTTCCTTACTGTTAGTAGGGAGATTGCATTTCTTTCTTTTCTTTTAAAAAGTTCTTTGTTACAGGGTAGACTCTGGGTTGGGAGTATATAGGGAAATAAAGGTGATGTAAAAACGAAAGATATTAATAAAAACTAAAAAAAATACAAGCTGAGAGTTGGGCAGTCTTCCTCCTTCAGTGGTTGTAGCCACTTCTACTCAGGATTGGGTGTGGGTCATTGCCATAGAGAGGCAATGGGGTGTAGTGGTAAGAATGTTAAGTTTGGAATTAGACCCATCCTTAGTACCTATGTGACCACGGGCAAGTCACTTAGTCTATATCTACCCACCTGGAAAGTCAGGTTAACACCCTTACCTCACAGTGTTGCTGGAAGGATCCAAATGAAATCATACACTTTACAAAATTAAAATGAGATGATCAAAAGGATTTATAGTCTTCTTCGGAACTTCTAGTGTGGAAACTCCATAAGTCAAAGCAGATTGAAACCCATTTCTGACTTAGTAGAAGTGTTCTAGGGAATTGTCTGTGTTAAATGTTTGACCCAAGGTCACATAGCTAAGGTACTATATGAAGCGATATCTGAAACCAAGTGTTCCTGATCCCAGACCCAGCACATCATCCATTATGCCTCCTTGCCTCTGGAGCATATTACTGTCAGCTATTATAAGTTTATCGATTTAGAGCGCAAAGAAAGTTAAGAGGTCATCCAGTCCAATGACTCATTTCACCAATGAGGAAAAAGTAGAGAAAAGTGAAGTAATTTGCGCAAGGTCACACAGGTAGAATGCCCAGCTGCTTCTATTCTCCACACCCCGCTGCTTCTTGAACTCATTAAGAGTTAATTTGGGGGGAATGAATAAAGAAAGGGCCCAATAGGGGGCTCCTGGGTTCCAACGCGCAGCGCAGAACTCAAGTATCTGGTCCCGCGTGGGCGAAGCGAGGGGGAAGCCCAAGGGCGGAGCCAGGAGTGGGAGGCCCAGAAGCATGCATGGAGGCGGGTTCACAGAGCAGAAGCGGGGTCACACCTGGAGCCAAGAGCTCTCTAGAAGGAAGAGGGCAGGTTAGGAGGCGGGGCTACATGGAAGGAGGGACGTTCTCTTAGCGCTAGCCTCTCCCCAACTCTCCAGGACTCCCCTGTGGGCGTGTCGTCATCCAGCTCCCTCTGAGACACGCGTGGGCGAACCCTACCTCTGCTAAGTGGGCTGCTGAGAGGGGAGGGGGGCTGTCTTTGGCAGCCCCTCCCCCTGTGGGGGCCACGTGGCGGGCGCTTGCCAGGCCGCTGGGGGGAAAGAACGCAGCCCCAAAGGGACTGGGGGGCGGGGTGGCCCGAGCTGCAGCGCGGAGAAGAGCTGAGCCCCGAGCCCAGCACAGCAGCAGCGGCGTCGTAGGAGGAGAGGAGGAGAGGAGAAAGGGAGGGAGGCAGGCGCATGGGGCGCCCCGGCCCGGCCGGCAGCGCGCCCCACCCTGCCCGGCCGTGCTAATCCTCCCCCTGTAACCTCCTCCTCGAACTTGGATCTCTCTAAGCCAGGGCCATGCCTGTCATGAAGGGGTTGCTGGCCCCCCAGAACACATTCTTGGACACAATCGCCACACGCTTCGACGGCACTCGTGAGTAGCGGATGAGCGCTGCAGGGGCTGGGAACAGGGGGCAAGGGGCTGAAGTGACCCCAGGGTTGCCGGGACAGAGATTGCAACCTGTCCGGGTCCTGTCAGCCTGGGCTTAATGCAAACACGAGTGAAGGTGGGGATGGGGAGCCCAAGGGCACTGGAGAGGAGTCGCATCCCGAGACCTAGGGAAAGAGAGACTGAGGGTGGCCAGGTCAGAACCGGGCATCAGAAAATGCGTTGGACTGGGGCCACTTGAAGAGGCAGGACAAAAGCAGGGATCCTCTTGTGGGGGCAAGCAGTGAAGGGAGCCAGGAACACTTGGACTGTGGGTGCAAAGGGTCAGGAGTTGCTAGGGGTGCGGTAGCGCGGGGCGGGGATAGGGGAGACTCTTTGTGCAGCGGAGGTGGGAAAGGTCTTTTCGAGGCCCAAGGCTGCCCCCTCCCCTAAATCTCT